GTTGATGCGATGGATGTGATCGAGGCAAGATTTAGGGCGGAAGAAGGAGCAGCAGTGAATGCTCTGTTGCGTTGTCCAGGTTGACGCTGCTCCACCATAGCACAGGAACCCAGGAGCAAGCAACAGGGAGCAACGAGCAACGAGCAACGATGTGGAGTGGAGCAGCAGCACCCGCGCACCGGACCCAAGGGTGGAGCACCTCCTGCCCAAGCCTCGACGAATCTGTGTGCCTGTGATTGGCAGGCGGCTGCTGCACTTGTGGGACGGGGAGAACCTCAGGGATGGCATCCCAGAGCCTCGCTGCTTTTAGCCTGAGCCGGGGCTGAGCGGGCCCTAAGCTTGGCATCAAGGAGGATTCTGACATATTGAGCTTGTTTAGGAGTATATAGATAGAGCTTTGGCCTTCACGCATCTCCTAGCTGATAATAGGAGTCCGGTTATTCACATTCTGTTGAGTCGCTATCAAGTTGCTAGTCTGGTGGGCGTAAGTTCGATGTCACTGGGTGCCATGCAAGTATACGAAAGACGAGTCAGTTTGAAGCGATCTTCTTCAATCTGGACGGTGTCGTAGGCTCCAGGTGCATTTGCGCAAGGACTCCTTGGCTGATACTGAGGATAGATGCCCGGTTCTGCCAGCAATGGTCCTCCTTTCGCGCTCTTGGGATGCATTATGGGGACGACATGATCGGTCACAAGTACCTACCAACACGTAACTATCAGCCGTCCGCTCTATTTCTTGTGTGATCGCCCTATCGTGAAGGGGTAACCCTTTACTGCTGCCTTTGCATCAATAGACTCGAATAGGGCATCCCGGTATTCGTGGTCCAGCCCCGTGGGTAGATAGTTGTTATTAGGGAACAAGCTGAACGTCTCTACTGAGGCGGTGGTCGCCTCAGTTACATCATCAAAAGTGTTCTGGAGAGCTGGCCCTGTAATGTAGGAGACGACGCGCGACGCGTCAAGGAGGTGGGTTGCTTAGTCATTTTCCACGGGGTCCTGTAACGCATTGGATTCACAGGCACCCGTAAACTTATGGTGCTCCTCCCAGGGTTGAACATGAACCGTCCATTGACGTACGACGACTAGTTCTCCATCGACTTTCATCAACTCGAGAGGGTAATTTTCATGCATCACCATATGGCTTCTCAACCCGAGGAACACCATACGGACAAGATGGGCAATGTGTTCCTTACCTGACCCGCGCTACCCGCAAATCTTGTGGTTGAGTGCCAGCCTCGAGTTGATGAAATACTGATGAAACGCGTATCTAAAGACACATATTTTGTCCAACCATCCTCAGCAATGCAGCTTCCGGGACATAAGGGTCGAGGATGCGTTCCACCTTCTCCCCCCAGTCATCACACCAGTCGAAGTAGCTAAAACATGATGCAAAAGCCCAGTAGCTCGGGTACCAACCTGCATCCTCCCAGTCGAGAACTGCTGCCACCTTGAAACGGCGTGTCCCAGTGTCTCCCTCAGTAGCCAAACGCGGCTCTTCCTGAACGATGATGTTCTTTCGCTGAAAGTCCGAGTGTGTAAAGACGCTCGCGTGGCCGCTCAGTACAGTCGACAAGTGACGTTCAAAAAAGTCATTCATCCAGCCATGCTCGCCACACGAGGCCCAGTAACCACGCGACCGCAGTATGAGTGCGCGATTGACATCCTCTTCGTTTGTGAACGGGCCAGTGATGCGGGGGTCTTTCTCGACAGACATGAAATACCGATGCTGAATAGGTCCTCCGTATACGCCGCCGTAGTGTCCCGGCGAGGACAGCATTCGTAATCGATCGCACACGTGTCGGAGCTGGTGCACGATGGGCGTTTTCTCATCTTCCGCAAGGGATGGCAGAGATCGCTCAACTGGGTGCCGGGCACGTACTCCATGACCAGGTAAAGCTTGTCGTTCTCGCGATACATTGCGTAAATATGAGGAGCGGGCACTTCACTTGCGCATTGGGATTACACGAGCATCAGTGCATGCCCTTCGTTCTCAAACACGAACGGGCCGTATTTGACCACGAAGATCTCCTTCACTAGAACTGTGCGCCGAGCATTGGAGTCGAAGATGCTGGGGAACTCTTCGGTGGCGGCTTCGATCTCCTCGCTGGTTGGGAGCGGTTGAGGCAAATCATCCGCACCGCAGTACCAAGGCAGCGAAGGGGGCCGTAGCGTTTGTTGGGCTGTAGACATAGTTGAATGATAGTTGCTGCAAGACAACCGAATTGTCATCATTGTTCAGCGTGGAATTAAGGTCGCAGGAAAGTCCCCGTGGAGATACTAGGTAGTACGGGGGCGGCTTTGAAGCGCCTGGTTGTTCTGGAGCGCCAACTGCATAACAAGCTCTCCAAAAATCTCGGATGCTCGTCCAATGATATTGCTGACATTGCGGGTCTAGGCACATCCGACTCAAGTCTCAGCGTTTCGCCACAAATGTGGCCGGGAGTTCTGGCACTTGCGGTGAAGATACGCATCTCAGCAACCATCGCAGGACTTCAGCCACCAGGGGCATGGCCTACAGGTACCTCTGAAGGGCAGTGCTCAGCTACGTGCCCCAAGTTGCTCCCCCACCAAGCATGCAACTGGAGAACCTCGGCCATAGACACTAGGTATGAAAACGGAGCCTGTTAATTCCTGGGATCCGACAACTTTCTACAAAGCCGACAAGCCAAGATGATCGCTGATAGAGTGGACGGGATAGGCGGAACAGCTGGCGAACCCTGCTCTCTTCAAGCATAAGTTGATATGAGGTCTTTGACGGACATGTCGTTTCTTGAACTATTTTGACTATGCAGCAAGTGATGATCACCTGCCTAGTGTAGCACCTTCTACAAGTTCTATTCGTTAACTGATTTGATTCTTGGCCTGGGAGCCTTGTGTTTTCATTTACTAAATCTATGTGCTGGTGTAGGGTGTCAGGAATCTTGGCAACGCTTGATCATCTCTGGTCCAGATTACGCAACCCCAGCCAGCGCGAGGACTGGGGCAACTACACAAGGCGAACTTGGCCATGAGCAATGCTACTAGTGTAGTTATTGAACAAGTCTGCATACGGACCATCATTCAACAATCGTTTTGCCAAGGATCACGGCTGAGCCAAGTCACCTCCATAAAGGCCTCCCTTAATCAAGTCAAAAACCTGAAACACATAGGCTTATGTACTTAGATTCGTTCGTAGTCAGGAGTGCCTTCTCTAGGCAATCTCCACACTCGGTATACATCTGTAGCTCGCTACGAGCTCAAATGTCGATCAATCACTCGTCATATGTTCGCGGAGATCTTGACTTCCTTGACTGGCCCTTGATTTTTGAATGTTATCTGAAAGGGAGCTCTTGCATCGGACTGTTGGTGGACATTAGATAGTATATGCTAGCACGTTTAACAGCGTTGCACGATCAATTCTAAAGACAATGCCAAGACTGCTTCATAATTTGCGAACTCGCGCGCGCCCGTATCTTGGGGCGGCTCCTATACCTGACTCCCCTCCTCTCGTTGATGATCCTCGAGAAGCCTGAGTTCTGGGAGTGGATTTCCCTTGAATTTTCCTCCGCATCCACGGCCTTGCGGGGTTTGGCAAGAACGTCTTGAGCTGAGCTTGAGTAAGAGCGGCAAGGACGCTAACCTAATCAGTCCATCACCATGAGGCAGGGGGGGATAAAACGAGAACCTGGCAAGGGCACACCCCGACCGGACCTGCAGCACACTGCACGTCCCAAAACCGTGGCCCACCTCATCCTCAGGAGCCTTGGGAGTCTTGGGAGCTCCCCTCCAGCTTGCCAACCTCCAGTGACTGTTGCGATGTTTTAGTGCTTGGCGCCCTGAAGAGACAGAGGGCTCTGAGCACGGGCCAACTGTTGCTGCCCTCGCATGTCTGCCTGTCTTCATCTGGGCCGCCTCACTCTGTGGATTCCGCCCTGGTTCACTGTGAGGTAGGTAGGTGCTGAAGGCCGAAAGACGGAAAACTTCAATCACCAACAGAGCAGCCCACCGAGCCGGATGAAGGGCGGGCTCACGAAATGATTATTGAAATTTAGACTTCTAAGGTTATTCACGTACATTGCGGCAGTAAATCGGGAGCTCCCATGAAATATGAGCTCATCACCACAATCTTATCCTTATCTCCCGCATCTGCCTTACCTATCTCCCTCGACAAAGCCCTCTTCCGCCAACCACAGCACGTACACCCCCTCCAAAGGACCCCCCCCCCCTCCCCTCCATCTCCCCTTCCCCCTAGCCTCCGATCGCCCAGCTCCTCCTCGTCTGTCTGGCCAGTCTGCTCATCCGTCGCTTGTGCCAGCCGACAGCCCACTCAACCCCCCCCAAGCAGTACCGGATTTCCTGCAGGCCTTGCTCTCCGGTTGATCAACTTCGCCTTTCGACTCATCAACGTCCGAGAGGAGGTGTAAAAACATCGTCGAGTTTTCAATTTTCGCCAGCGTTACACGACAGCTCGGTGGACGGGCGCATGCGCCAATCACTAGCTCCCACAAGTCCCCTCCGGCTCGGTGCGACCGACGATGCCTGACCACGACATGGACCTTGAAAATAACCCCGCCGCGGCCGCGCCCGCCGATTCTGGAGCTGAAGCCGGAACTGTCCCTGAGCCTAGAGTCACGGTTGCAGCAGAAGTGGCAGCAGCAGCGCTCCCACCACCAGCACCACAAGCACCACCACAAGCAGCGACAGTACCACCATCGTCTTCAGGCCCAAAGCCCAACGCCAGCCCCAGTGGCAGTGGAACACAGGCACCTCCCGTCTTCGCTACCGCGGCCTCGATTGCCAGACCGAACGTTTCCTCCTCCTCTGTTTCCCAGTCTCATCCCCAACCCCACGCTCACGCACCCCAACTCGCCGCCCCAGCGCCAACACACGGTCAAGGTCACGAGCTTCCTTTCGTCACACCCTCCTCCTACCTTCGCCCCAAGCCCGCCCCTTCGGCGGCCGCTGCGCGCACAGAAATGACGGCGAAACCCCTAAGCCCGCTCGATAAGGAGCAGATGCAGGGCCTGGTAAGAGCTTACCCTTGCACATCTTGTCCCCTCTGCCTGTCATGCCTCGTGCTTCATCTCGTGCTCTGTCTGCACGGAAGTCTGCGAAGCGCGGGGGTCGCATGCCCTTGAGACAGGTCGACCGCCCGGGTGCAACCTCCGTGACGACTAGATGCGACACCGGCCCTGTCGTGGCAACTCGTAGCACCCTATGCTGACCACTGCCTCGCCCGTCATAGAGAGCCATTCGGGAGTTCCTCAAGGTCCGAACCAGTTACGACGTCCTGCCCTTGTCCTTCCGATTGATCGTGCTCGACAACGACCTCCTCATCAAGAAGAGCCTGAATATCCTCATCCAGAACTGTACGCTGCCTACCGACCCCGCATTCTCCTACTGCTGTCGCGTGCGTGTCCTAACCAGACTTGCCAGCAATTGTTTCTGCCCCGCTATGGGATTCGCACTCGTCGACCTTTGCCGGCCTGTTGACGGCGACCGACTTTATCAATGTCATCCAATACTACTGCCAGTTTCCTGACGAGATCAGCAAGCTCGACCACTTCCGACTCAGCAGCTTGCGGGGTACGAATTGAAAGGACTCGACAGGAAAAATGGGCAATGCTAACCACGGCAACCAGATATCGAGAAGGCCATCGGCGTGTCGCCACTAGAGACTGTCTCGGTCAACCCTATGCGCCCCCTATACGAGGCATGCCGCCGCATGCTGAAGACGAAGGCCCGCCGAATCCCCCTTGTAGACCTTGACGACGAAACGAGGAGGGAAACTGTTGTTAGTGTCATAACCCAGTACCGAATCCTCAAGTTTATCGCCGTCAACAACGAACACAACACAGTCATGCTGAAGAAGGCGGTCAGAGATGTCGGCCTGGGTACCTGGGGCCACCTCGCAACGGCACACATGAGCACCTCCGTCCTCGACGTCGTGTCCCTCATGGTCAAACATGACATATCGTGCGTTCCTCTGGTTGACAAACATAATCGACTACTCAATGTCTTCGAGGCGGTCGACATCATTCCCTGCATCAAGGGAGGAGCATACGACGACCTGTCTTCCAGTGTCGGTGAGGCACTCTGCAAGCGACCGGACGATTTCCCGGGTATCTACACCTGCGGCCCCGAAGACCGGCTGGACTCCATTTTTGACACGGTGCGCAAGTCGAGAGTGCATCGCCTCATAGTGGTGGACGATGAGAATCGATTGGTAGGCATCATCTCCCTATCCGACATCCTCAAGTACGTCCTCCTTCACGGAGAGGAGGACGACTTGAGGTAGGGGTTCCCTGCCAATCAGCTACACATGACACGCAACGACCATGATGGATGACGGACACTATGAACGGAAGGGGATGGAGCACTATGGATCGGGGGATCGGAGAACAGGAGAACTAGATATGGGAGGTGGAAAGATCTTTGATGCTTTTTCTGCACTGCGTCTGAGAGAACGGCCTTCGCTGGGAGGAACCTGCCAGATGTGAGAGTCTCATTCATGTCATCCGCATTTTCTTTCCTTTGTCACACGCTATAGAGGACCTGCTCACCTGCATGAGAGACGGTCCAGATGATCGCTCAATGTTTTGACCTGAAAGGGTGGTCTGAAAGGGTGGTCCGCGGTATTGAGCTTCGGGATTCAGTTGAATCTAGTCTGTTCTGGAACCGTTGTGTCTTTCATTTTTGTGCGCTAATCGTGTGTGCAGACTGGCGGAGATATCCTAGGTGCTTGTGTATGCTGTGGTGCCTCCTGTTGGCGATTTTGGCGACTCGACAAGAGCCTAATCAGCTGCAGACTACAAATAGCGTATGGGAGGGCAACTGCAGATATCTTGTCAGCAGCAGGAAGGTTCGATTCACGGGGCGCAGTCACACCCTTGACAGACTGCAGGTCAGGAAAGAGCACTCTACCATGGTCACCAGGTCGGCTCAGGCCAAGACGTGAACAAAGAGCACAACCAGGCATCTTCCCACCATGGCAAGCTTTCTACAGTGGCCACGCTATTTCACCATCCGCAGCTCTTCCACAGCCACCAGGAGCGGCATCTCCGTCTTGCAGATTTTGACATACCCCCTTAGACACCTTGAATACCATCTTGGCACCACTGGCCTTCATTACCTGCATTCTTCTCACCCGCACGAATTACGCATTTCAACCTCGCGTTATGCAGTCTTACAACATAGGTTCGGGCGACGTCCCCAATCCATCATTCTCGACAAAGTTCTCGAAAGAAATGGAGTCGGAAACTCAGAAGAGCCACGCCAGCAGCACTGCGCCTACGAGCTTCCTCGTCCCTCATAGTATGCCGGTTCCTAGGCAGTCGTCTGCGTCTCATTACCCGCGTCTTGCAAATTCGGACATTGTCCCTGCGCCGTGGACCGGTTCCAGTCGCAGGACCAAGTGTTTGCAGAGCAGTGCGACCTGGACGTCATCCAGCGGCGACCTGGCCATGTTTTCGGACACTGATGAAATCGAAGACAGGCAACACTTTGTGGTGGAGTACAACAGGTTGGCTAAAAAGGTTCGTTTGAGACTGGTCTCCGTGCAATTCTCAAGTTGCTTACCGGAGGTGAAGCATGGAATCCGTGTCCTAGTGGCGGACGATTTTGTGAAGGGAAAGGTGAGACGCCTCTATATTGTGGTGAAGCTTGACATTGATGGAAACTAGCGAGACACATACCCCTCGACCATGACGGAGAAGAGAAAGTGGTGGTCGAAGATACTGCGGACGCCGTCTACAGAGCAACGAGAACACAAGGAACAATCTGGTGGCCACGTACCACGACATCGACGGAGCGTCAGTGACCTGGCTCTGAAGATGATGCACGGTAGAAAGGAGTCGCAGAAGCGACTAAGTCTACAAACCATGGTCAGACTTGGTGGGAAGAGCATGTTTTATCTTCCTGCCGAATATGCTCCTGGGGCTTTAATGCTCCCAACATGCTTTCGGGCCACGGCGCAGTATCTCGCGCAACATGGTATGTTCGCTCTGATCATCCTGCTCAGCAGTACTGACGCCATCAGGTCTCGTGACTCGCGGCGTCTTCAGAATCCCCGGCTCACAACGCATCGTCAATGCTCTCTTCGACTACTATTGCTTCGAGGGCCAGAATGAGGAGGTTGCCCGTACTGTTCGATGCCCGAACCTTCCAACCCACATCAACGCTGGTCCTCATGACATTGCATCGGCATTCAAAAAGTTCCTCGGAGTTCTGCCTGGAGGTATCCTCGGATCACTAGGGTTGTTTGACGCACTCGTCGCCATCCACAGTCAGTCCCGTGCTGAGCCCGAGTTCATCAGAACGAGGCAAACCAAGATACGAGGTCGAATGATCGCACTGGCCATTGGAACTCTTCAGTCACAATTCCATCGTGAGCTTCTCTGTGCCGTCTTTGGTCTGCTCTCTCTCGTAGGCCGTCAAGCGGAGATCGCGCCCCACGAGGACGGTCTGGGCCATCCTCTTCCAACATCTGACCTCATGGGTTACAGCGCCCTTGGTATCATATTTGGACCCCTACTTATTGGCGACCTACTCGATACGTACAACATGAGAGTTGCTTACCCATCCTCAGGGCTTCTCTTGTTTCCTACGACCCCAGCAAAACTCAAGAAAGAAAGGTTGCGCAGCAAGACTATGGTTTCGGAGCATTGTCCCACAATTGACAAGATACTGATCGCCAACGAGATTGCTGAGATGATCATCACTCACTGGCGAGACGTCGTCAGAAATTTACGAAGCCTCTCTGTTTTGGCCGGCAAAGGGAGGAGCAAAGAAAATTCCAATGGAAATTTGGCGAGTGGGAGAGGTTTCTTGAGAAGCTCAGTTTCAGAGCCATTCAAGCTTAAACAGCCTCCTGGCTGGGAAGGCCATAGTCCTGATGTGCCAGGGGCCGGTCGTACTGGATCACCAACGCTCGATACACCCACACCGGCTCAAAGTATGTTTTGCCCTGGAACTTAGTCATTCTTGATTCTGATTATGTTGATCGTGTGTTAGGGCGTGGAGGGTTGACGAGTCAAAGTATTTCCAGCAGCACAGCCGACATTCTGTCCATTCGACGGACCCGACCAAATTCGTCTTACTCTAATTCGATCACTAGAATTCCTCCCAAAAGTTCACTCAACCCTCTTTCGCCAACAGCGGAGGAGAGTGCTTCTGACTATGGCGCGCCGAAATGGCTGCCAGAGTCAACCTCACCACAACATCCCCCAGACACACAAGACCCAATATGTGCAATGCCAAACACAAAGCAGCCGTTTCCATCGAACTTGGCAAAGATGATGACAGCCGCGAAGCTCAGCCCTGCCGGAAAGACGAAATCATCTGCAAATGGCACACCCCGGCAATCAGTCGAAGTGCCTCGAAACAGCTGCACGTCTGGGAATAATCGTGCTACGCCTGCAACTCAGCCGATGACCACGCCAGCTGCGAAATCATGCAGTTCGCAAGATGCGACCAAACCTCGATCATCTACAAGAGCCAGTCCGTCGCTTCAGACCCTTCAATCTCGGATACTCTGTCAATCAACGGGGAGCGAAGGAGGCGACGAGTCAGAAAACATTCCCCGTTCGCGACGTTCACCGGTACGTCCCCCCTTTGAAGCTAGCAAGAAGAGCGGTCTTCGGCAATCGGATTCAGGACTTGTGTCCTCACGTATCCGCTGTTTCATGAAGACGGACCAGGAAGGCTGGCCGGAGCAAGGAATAGTAGGACCGATTCCCAGTCGTGGACAAGGATATTCATCCGAGGAGAGCAAAATCACGGCACGGCAGGTCGCAAGCCCAGCCGTCGGACAGAGTGAGCACCAAAGTATCCAGAAAAGAACCACTTTCCCGAAGCGTCAACCTGTTGCAGGCAGCTCCGACGTGGGGAATTCGAGCCTGTCAGACTGGCGAGTCATCATGAAAGCCGACATGGAGGTCGAGTCACGCTCACTTGACCAGCGGAACACCAGCGGGGCTGGATCCAACCAAACGGTCCGCATTAACAGCAATATGCACGACGAGCGCATGTCTGAGAGAGAGAAAGAGCGGGAGAATTCTATCCAGATTACGCCAAAAGAGTTTTTCAAGGAGTTTGACGTTGCTATGAAGGAGCCAGTTCACACCGATGCTTCAAGAACAGATTCGCTGGAAGCACAGTAGGACAATGCTTCCCCGAAGACTAATATTACATCTACAAGATTGAGTCGCGCATCCGCAACACGGACCTGCGATGATCAAATTGGTTTGATAAGCTTCGCGAAAACCTCCGTATCAGCGCCAGGACTTGACCAAAGTCGGAGAGAAAGCTTGGCTTCGCAAGCCGCCGAAATGGCGCAGCGCTCAAGGGCGTCGACTATGCGAAGTTTCATAACACTTTCTCGATCTGAGAACATGGCATTCTCCACTCCGAAGACTGCTCTCCGCAAGTCAGCATCGCGGCCTGGAGGTGTCAAAGCCATGGCAGCGATGTGGGAGGGAGCATCCAAGGACTCATCATTCATCGCCACACCAGCACCAGCCACTCGAAAGCAGGTCGACACTGTGTCAGGGTCGGTCGTCTCACCATACTCAGAAAATGTCACACCGCCGAAAACAGTACCGCCCGTCAGGCTAACGTATGATCGTTCGTCAAGTAAAGGCTCTGCCAAGGCCTTCAGCAGAGGATCGCTGCGGATAGGAAGCGGAACAAAAAAGCCTCTGAAGCCATCAGCTAGTGATAGCACGACGCTGCGCGCAGCCTCCCGCACTGAAGAAACATCACCATCAAGAGCACTTGCGGCTTTTCGCAAGATCCAATTGCGACAGACGCCAGAGCTGTCCAAGAACGAGGCAGCCTCTCCATCTGCTCCACTGCTCAACGATAGCCCTGATCATCTCCCGAGCCTCGGCACGATGGTTCCCCAGGAGGAAGAGCCGCCAGTTGACAGGCACATGAACTTTTCGCGGCCACCGTCTGCTATTTCAGGTGGCCCTTCTCATGGCCATGATCACGACAATCACGACCCCGAGGGTGATCCTTTCCTACCAGTGCCAACAGCAAGTTCTGTTCCTGGAGGGGGGAATTGCCTATTGCATGCACAGATTCGAAACTTGCAGAGGCAGTTGGAGGCCCGTGACGAGGAGGCGTCTTCGCTCCGACGGCAACTCGAGACGCAAGAGAACATGGACATTGGCACACTGAGCGAGCAGCTGCGGGAGAGCAAGAGAGAATCGGCCATGTGGAGGTCACGAGCCGAAGCGGCAGAGAGGCGGCTGACAGTGTTCGAACGCTTCACCATGCGTCTCCGGGATATTCGGGTCCCACAGGTAGATTCGGAGGCTGCAGCTGATGACGAGGCGGCCAGGGAAGTACACGAGGAGGGGGCATGAATCTGACGGCAGCACTAAAACGACCCGGACTGAGGAAATTGGTGTTTTGACCAATCGTATCCGACAGGTCGTTGAAGGGGTTGGATTGGTGCCAGGAGCTCAGCGCCGCCAGCAGCACGACCAAGTGACGGAGACGCTTCGGACGTGGGTGGGAATCAGC